TTAGAACAAAACAGAGACACACACACTTCTCTGTCTAGCCTAACTTGGTGCCAAGCTCACTCCTGAGTACTGCAGAAGATTGCAGGGAAACTGGCTGATACTGACAATAGCCCGTAAGCTGCCATGAATGCCATTGCTGCAGATGTAGTGTGATACAATATACCTTTTGTTCAGATCAAAAAAGAACATGAGATGGGGGTGATTCCTGTATATTTTAAAGGTGTCTCTGAGCCATGTTAAATGAATACTAAAAAAAAATATGGGTTTTGCTCACATGCCTTGTATATTATGTTATCCAGTTTAGTCTGATGGCTCCTGAATGACCGATGGTTCCTGGAAAGCCAAGAAGGGTGTAATGGAGCATCTCAAGCCAGATCAATGTAGCCACAGTTGAGGAAGGAGTGAGGGGATCCTCCCCCCCAACTCATGCAGGTTTCCAGCATAAAGTGGAAATAAGCGCTGCAAACTGAGATGGTCCTAATTAAAATCTCTCTTTCTAGACTTGCGTGTGTCTGGCCCTGACCTACTGCAGTATGTATTCTCCACCTTAATTAGCAGTACCCATTTGAAGTTAAATGATGAATACTGTAAATAATTTGAACCAACTCAGTCTATATAGAACCATAATATTATCAGGGCAATTTCCAGCATCCCACCACGTCAGCTTTTATCCTTATTTTTAGCTTTGGTATTAGGGATGCTACTGAATTTTTTAGCCCTCCTGTTTTGGGCTCTAATAAGCCCACTTTCATTTTCATTTTTCCCATATGAGTCTTTATTTTTGCTCCGTTCCCTTGTGCCACTTTTTTCATGTTAATTTTGTGCAGAAACATAAGAAAAAAAGGGGGAGAACCTATAAAAGGAACAATTCAGCTCTGGACAATCATACAAAACTAAGATGCCATGAAGTTTTCAACATAAATTAAACCTGAAAGCCAGCTTGGAGATTCTTGTTGGGAACAAGCATATGAAGAAGTTTGTGGGATGTAAAGAGAGTAGGGGGTGACGACCAGTAACAGGTTTCAGGGAGGGTCTTGCACATCCCTAATGCAAACCTAATAAGGGAGGAGGTCCTTGTTTTGTGGAGTGGAAAAATATGGTTGGCCATTTTTTAAAAAAATGAGGACTTAAAACCTAGGAGATGTGCATTGTGGTGCTGAAGCAGGAACTTGCTTTATTCCGGTAGGAAATTATTGCTAAGAATCATTCTAAGGAATGACAAGGCCTTCCTTTTGGAGGGTGATGTTTTGGGTACTGGCCAGTAGGTGCTTGCAATAGCTGTACACAGATATGTGTAATAAGCTGTCATCTCCTTTCTGTAAGAGGAATCGGGTTCCCCCCCCCCCAAAAAAAACAGCAAAACCAGTTTGACTAGAAATCTAAGTTGAACAGAAAAGCAATGTCATTTGCTACTAGAGTTGCCAGCTCTGGGTTGGGAACTACCTGGAGATTTTGGAGGTGCAGCCTGAGGAGAGTGGGGAGCCTGAGGAGAGTGGGGCTTGGGGACGGGACGGACTTCCAAGGCAGCCATTTTCTCCAGGTGAACTGGCTCTATCACCTGGAGATCAGTTGTAAACCTGGGAGAGCTCCAGCCACTACCTGGAGATTGGCAACTCTATTTGCTACTGAGGCCCAATGCAATCTAGTGGTCAGAATATCAGAATGAGTTCTAAGAGACCTGGGTCCAAATCCCTGCTCAGCCATAAAGGTCACTGGGTGATTTTGGACCAGTACTTTTCCCTTGTCCTAATCTACCTGAAGGGCAGGATGAAAAAGTACTGTATTGATACTGAGCACAGCAATTGCTCTGTTATCCTCAGTAGTAATCTGGGACCACTGGAACCCAGATCTGTTTCTCTGCCTTTAAGGTTGTATTTAGAATGGGGAAATCTCCTAGCCCTGTTGTAAAAACACACAAACATTGTTCTAAAATAGGTCACCCATCTCTCATTGTGCATAAATATGTTTCTGGGAATTTTGTTGGGAACAAATGGGGCAAAGACCTGGCTTATCCTTCAGACTCTGCACAGGCATTGCTTTTTCTGCACAGACACATCCAGTCCAGGCTTCAAAGCTTCCATTTTGTAAGTGTTGTATTGTCATTTGCATTCTCTTTTGTATTCTTTTGTATTCTCTTGCTCTCCCTCCTGTGAGCTGGTCATTTTCACACAGCTTGTAGTTTGCCTGTAGCCACTCTTGTAGTCTTTTCACCATTTCTGGTGTTCAGCAGCACCTAATTATTTTTTGTTTTAAAGTGTATTACATTCTCAGGTGAATGGTGGACAAAATTAACAATACTGAGAATTCTGAAATGGGAATTGCTTCCTTGGTGTTGTGTAGGAGGACACAAACATACCCCAAGGGCCACAGATAGTGTGAATGGGTTCTTTTCCAAGCCACAGAATGTGTCTTGGTGTACCAGTCTAGAGCTAGG